CACACACACACACACACACACACACACACGGAATAAATAAATAAATAATTAAAAAAAAAAAACTACTAGTAGTATTAAGGGAGACTAGTAATGAGCCTTCACTATTATAACTTGGGATATCAGGGTCTTTTTTTTTTTTTATGTATTTGGTACAGGGTCTCACTACGCGATTTGGGCTCCTAGTGATCCTCCTGTTTTCAGCCTCCCAGTGCTGGGATTCCAGATGTGCACCAACACACCCAGTCTTGGTGGCTGGCTCAGTGTGCCCAGGGACGGGGCCAGTGAGGCATGTGGTACCAGGATCAAACCTGGGTCCCTGTACTTGCTTAAGCAGGTGCTTAGTCTGCTGAGCTATCTTGCCAGCCCTTCAGGGTCTTTTTTTAAAAAAAAAGATTAATAGCAACTTGTTGGAGACCAGAATCACAGCACTAAGGAGGCAGGCTGAGACACAGGAGATAGCAAGTTCAAGGCTAACCTGGGCTGCACATAGTGAGACCTTATCTAATAAAAAAGTCACGGGCATAAATTAATGAGGAATATGTTGACCCAATTGAATAAAACTATAAAGATTTACTGGAGTACATAAAAAAGACTTGAGTCAGGCAAGTAGCACACACCGTACTCCTAGCATTCTAGGAGGCTAAGGTAGGAGGATTATGAGTTTTAGCCCAACATGGGGAACTTAACAAGACCCTGTATTAAGAGGGCGGGGCAGGGGAGATAGCTCAGTGGTTTAAGTGCCTGCCTGGCAAGCAAAAGGTCCTGAGTTCAATCCCTGGTACAAAAAATAAAAAAAAGAGGGCTGAGAAGGTGGATCAGGGTAAAGACCTTGGGTTTAACCCCTAGTACTTCAAAATAAATGACTGAATAAATAAACAAATACTACTTTGTGATGTGAAAACTGTAAGAGATCTAAATTTCTTGGTGTATGGCCACACTGATTTGTTCCTGTATTATCTGGGGCTGTCACTGGACCACACAGCAGACAGAACCCAGGAGCAGGAGACAGACCAGATGGTGCGTGTCACTGCAAATCACAATGATACAGCAGTAGCTCACAGTGCTCATGATGTTCTGTTTTAATGATCAGAGAATATTCACAAAGTGTCAAGTGAAGGCAAGCGGGCCCTCAATGTATGCTCCTAAGCACAGGGGTTCTGGATTACTGCGGTACTACTGGGTTGGACGGGGGGATCTTGAGTTCATCATTTAGCAACTTCGTGCTGTGCTGAGAATGCACAGTATCATCACCACCATGTGTTCACAGTGTTTCCAACTTATGCAACACTTTAAGTAAATTTAAATAAAAATAGAAACTCTGAAATGGAATCTCATCATAACACAATTACTTGGCAAAAATGGACATTATCCTTTGAATAAAGTAAGTTCTAAAGGGCTCACTTGGTCAAGCAAGGCAAGTTGTTCACTGATGGTGATTACATTGTGCCAACTGAGGTAGCCAATAGTGTATGTCCAGGGACAACAAACTGCCCTGAGAGTGCTAGACATTGGGTACAGACAGGGGCCTGGACAGCTACACACAGTGAGAGCCACAGAACACTCACACAGCTCAGTGATGTTTCTTGGCTCCTGATAATGTGATGGTACTGACACTGCTCAGGGGTCGGTGCTGAGCTCCATGTGGCTGAGGGCCTGGCCTCCACCCGCCCTCCATGAGGACAACTATGCAGAATGTTTCAAATAAGCGAAGAGAACTAATTCTGTGCCACTGGAGGAGCCTGATGTGGTCTCTGCTAAGATATGTCACGGCTGATTACGCTGAGGATGCATATAAGTCAGACAAGGCTGAGCTGTCTGATTCACAAAGCTTGAGAAGATGTAAGACTAAGGTCATTTGTTATTACTCATTGTCAGGTAGTTTGTGTATATATTTGAATCTATCATGAGCTACTTAAATAGCATGGACACGTCCTTTGTCAGCTTCATGAAGTTTTGGTCAGAAATAGAAGTATCCTGAATACCTGAACTACTGTGCAATAATTCAACAGCTGCACAGTGGCAAAATTTTATTTTTGAGCTTAGGACCAAGAATGAAATTTTCTGAATGAAAAACAACAGCAGCCAAAAAACCAAAAATCCTCTCCATCATCACTGTTAAATACTGAATGACTCTGAAAGTTAATTTTTTTTTTTTTTTTTTTTTTTTTGCAGAACCGAGGATTGAACTCAGGCCTCTGAGCTTGCCTGGAAGTGCTTATTCCACTGAGCCATCTCCTCAGCCCCTGAAAGTTAATTTTTATTACAGGCTTGGTAATGTTTCTTACTGAATTCAACCTAAAATTTCATGGCTAATAGTGCTTATATGCAAAACACACTGCAAAATTCATTTCAAACCATAAACAATTTTGAACTCCTTCATCATTTCTTTTTTAGGGTACTGGGAAGGGAACTCAGGACCTTGCACTTGCCAGGTAGGTGCCATGCCACTGGGCTGTGTCTCCGGCCCTCCTGCACCATTTCTTGCCCTGTGAAAATCTATACTAGAGCAAGAGATACATCTTTCAAGGTCAAAGTACAGTGCTAGCAGAATCTTTCTGACCTGGATGTAAATGCAAGTACAAAGGAAATTTATTTCAAACTGCTCTTAAGTGCACCTGAGGAGTGCTTCCAAACCATCAGTCAGATGGGATTAACCTGCAGGGTAAAATACAAGCATTGAGAAATAATCTAATGGAATTTTACAAATGCCCTCCAAGTGGTAAATTTGTTCAGTCAGCTTCCCACCCGCACTGAGCTGGCAGAAGCCAGCCCAGAGCTGATCCTGGACAAGTAAGCAGAAAAGGGTACCCATTATTCGAGACGTCCCCTAACTGCTCAGAGTGAGGGAAAACACTGAGTGAGATAAGGAGAGCCCCAAATCCAGAGGGAACCTTACAATGACTGAGGTGAAAAACACAGCCAAGGGGCTGATGATGCAAGAAGTGGGGGCTGTAGGAGAAACGGTCAGTGAACCCAAACATGCAGTGAGAGACTTCATGATGAAGCAACAAAACAAAACAAGCGAAGACTATAAATATTTTTTGTTTTGTTTTTGTACTGGGGATCAAACTCGATCCTCGGCACCACAAGTTGTGCCGCCCCATCCCTGGGGCGCGCTGAGACAGTGATAGGGGGTGGTACATGCCTATAATCCCAGCTCTTGGGAGGCTGAACATACACCGATCACTACAAGTTCAATCTGTGTACTGAGACCCTGTACTAAATTAAAAAAAAAAAAAAATTAAGCTAGGCGGTATAGGTGTAGGTTTTATATGAAGTCTGGGAGGCTAAGGCAGAACAATTTTAAGTTTGAGCCCAACTTGGTCAATTTAGTGATTAAGAGAGTCCCTGTGTCAAAATAAAAGATTAAAGGCTGGTGATGTAGCTCAATGCAAAAGCCTTGGGTTTAATCCTCATTACTGGAAGGAAAACAAAAAGAAAAGATGAAATAGAATTTAAAAAAAAATACAAAAGCTGAAATAAGTCAACACCAGCAGACTTACATTTCAAGAAATATAAAAGGAGGCACTTTAAGCAGAAGATGATGGTGGTGGATGGAAATGTGGACCTGCTCAAGAAGGGCATTGCAGACAGGAAACGGGTTAGTATAAGACAGTTCTGCTATTGTTTAAGTCTCTTAAGAAGGTAACTACATAGGGCTGGCCAGATAGCTCAGTGGACTAAAGCGCTTGGTTAGGCTGAGCACAGGGGCCTGGGTTTGATCCCTGGCCTGTTGTGCCGGCCCTGCTCCCAGGGTGTGCTGAGAGGCAATTGAGACTGGGCATGGTGGTGCACCTGTAATCCTAGCACTTGGGAGGCTGAAAACAGGAGGATTACTACGAGTCTGATCTATGCAGTGAGACCCTGTTCTCTCTCTCTCTCTCTCTCTCTCTCTCTCTCTCTCTCTCTCTCTCTCTCACACATATATATGGTAACTACATAAAGCAAAACAATGACAATATACTGAGACATTTATAACACATACAAATGAAAACCATAACAGTAATAAGATAAAAACTGGGTGGAGAGCACCACGGTGAGCTCTTGCCCCCACATGTGAAGTGGCATATCTCTTGATTTCTGTTACAAAAACAATCACTAAGAAAATAGCAAAGAGCCACAGCTGAGAACCCACCAGAACACAATAAAGTGGAATTGAAAAATTCTCAATCAGCCCCAAGAAGACAAAGAGGTAAAAGGAACAAAGTAACAGATGGAAAAATACAAATTAAACAGTGAGATTCAATGATAAAAATAATCGGTTCTCTGCTCTTTGCCATCACCATGAACGGTTGCTCTCTGCCATGTGCCACTCTGCTTTGGAGCCACCTGAGTATGGACTGAAACCTCCAGTAACTGTAGCAGCTTGAAACATGAAGACCTGGATTCTGCTGTTCTGTCTTCTTGGATCAGCTCAGTCCTTACCAAAGTTTCTCCCACAAACCAACTCCAGGTCAGGTTACACCACAAAAACAACAGCAGTCTAGTCAGGTCTTTCCTTAAGCGTAACACAACTGCTCATCCTGGGGTCAGATCTGCAACTGCTCACTCCTGCCACAGGGGTGACACCCGCAGCCCACACATTGCCCTCAACCCTGGGAACCCAGATGGAGGGACGAAATTAGCTGCAACCACAGACGTTACCAATTTTTGTAGCACAACTTGGAGCACAGGCTGCTATCCTAAGCTCTGGAGAACTGCCACTGGGCCCCCAGATCTTCACAGGCCTCCTCTTGCACCCTTTCTTCCCAGGAGGCATCCTGCCTGCCAGTCAGTCAGGTGACCACAGAGGGCCAACTCTCCACTCCTGGTGTCACTGATGATGACTCTGAAGTGACCACCCCTGCGAGCATCCAAAGGGCCACACATACTACCAAGCAGACCATCACAGGGTCACCAAATCGAATTCAGTGAGCTGCATCCACATTTTTCAACTAAACAGCCTCAAATTTGGTGACACATGTGAATCTCTTTCATTAATTATATTATGTATTCCACTATGATTGAGACACTGGAGGATCTCAGAAGAAACTTAGTTTATCTGAAAACTTGCTTTGAAATTTCAGAAAATGTTAAATGTAGAGAATACTAACTTCTGAAAAAGAATAAATAGGTATATTTGTCTTTGAAATATTACATTATGCTACTTCCGACCTAGAAGATTCATGTATTAAAATCTATTTTGAAAATTGAAAAAAAAGGGTCAGGGAGATGGCTCAGTAGAATAAGTGCTTCCCTGGCAATGCAAGGACCTGAGTTAAATTCCCGGTTCTGCCAAAAATAAACAAACAGACTGAAAAAAATAACATTAACTGTACCCCTAAATAAAAAGGCAGAGATGGTCAGACAAAATAAAAAAGCAGGACCCAGGCCAGGTGAGATAATGCACACCTATAAAACCTCAGTTATTCTAGAGACTGAAGAGGATCAGTCTGCAACCAGCCATCAAAATAAAAATTGGCATGTGCAAGGCCCTGAGTTCAACCCCCAGTACCCACCCTCCCCCCAAAAAAAATACCTTGGTAATTAGTTCAGTGTGAAGGCCCAGGGTTCAATCACCAGTTAAAAAAACAAAACAAAACAAAACAAAAGCTAATACCCTATTAAGTAATCTTCAGAGCACAAGAGGGATGTTTTATGATGATATAGGAATTCATGAGGAAGTAACCTTGAACATTTAGGCACTCACTACATAGTCTCAGACACTTCTGGGTGTTCACAATCACCTCAGAGAGATAAAAGTGTGTGTTCACACAAAGACTTATGTGCAAGTATTCATGCCAGTTTATCTGTAATATAGATAAATCTAGAAGCAAGCCAAATGCCTATCCAAAGAGCATGGTGGAGTACTATTCAGCAATGGCCATGATTAACACATGGTTTCATAGCAAAACAATTATATAGAGTAAAAGTTGACACACAGAAAAAGTACGCAGCATTCAATCCCACTTAACATTCACAAACTGCTAGCGTGGTAGCACATGTCTGCAATCTCAGCACTTAGAGAGGCTGAGGCAGGAAGATCACTGTAATTTTGACACCAGACTTGGCTAAAAAGTGAGCTCAGGGCTGGGGAGATAGCTCAGCAGTTTAAGTGCCTGCCTGGCAAGAGCAAGGACCTGGGTTTGATCCCCGGTACCACATGCTTGTACTACACTGGACTGCTACTCTTGGATTCCCCAGGAGGAAGGTGTTACTTTTACTGTCATTGTACAAATGAAAAACTGAGGCTTGTGTGGAGGACTCTGTCTACACCGTCAGGCACCTGAAGCAGATGGGCCACAGTGGGAGCCGGTGGTCAGCTACCCCAGATGCAGGGGATATCAGGCATATGTCACCAGTTGTATCCTTGCTTCTGCTTATAGAAGTGAGGCTGCAGTGTGCACCTGGCCTTGTACTTCACCACTCCAGCCTGGTACCTTGAGATAACTGTCTGCAATGCTGATGGAGACCACCTTTGTTTCAGCAGCAGCATCCATAGTCTGTCAGTGAAGATGCTATATCTGAGGATCTGGATAAAGAGCCAGGGAGACATGTCAGGACAGTAATCCAGGTGGAAACCTTGAAGGAGATGGGAACGCAGGCTAAGTGACGAAGCTCTGTACCAGGTCAGGGACTCCAAAGCAGCTGTTCACACAGGTGCCTCCTAGGAGAGCCACTGCATATAGAAACAGCTAGTACACTGGGTGGTGGAGCCAAGGGAGGATGGATTCTACTCAGAGAAGGCAGATGTTTGAGAGATGTTGACACTCTGGGGCTCCTCTTGCTCCTTCTAAGGAAGTGCAAGGGCTTAGGTGCTAAAAGACCCGGGGGGTGACCTTCATAGGGCTCAAGGGGACCATTCTGCACAGAGCAGTGGGGGCAAGCAGGCAGATTAGTCTCCATTTGGAGTGTAGATAGTTGACAGTTAACCATGTATGCCTGTACAGGGAGCTGCTGGCCAGTATAGATGCTGGACATGGCATGAAGGGCCCAAGCTGAGTGAGAAGTAATCTTAGGGGTTGTCTGCAGACACAGAGCATCATTTGGTGGGAGGTGAGACAACTCCTCCCTCTCAGAAGAGGAAAGAAGCCAAGATATGGGAGGGGGACCCCAGTCAGGTGACCAACATGTGTTTTGTCTTGGAGAGGGGTGTGGAGAAGCAGTGGAGCAGGTGGCAAGCAAGTGAGATGGAGATGGACCAGTGCCCACTGTTTGAGCGTGATCACATCAACAGAAGACTTGCTGCAGGCCTGGGGTTGTTCTGAGGTTACACAGGACCACTGAAGTATCCTGAGGCCCCAAGGCTCATGAGATGGAAGAGAGGCAGACAGATTGGGAACTGCACAACTTACAATTTATTGGATGCTTACAGAGAGAAGCATAGACCTCGGCATTAGCAAGGCCAGTGGATACTGCTGTTTGGGTCAGAAGGAGGGGCATATATACTGCCCAGAAGAAAAAGTGACTTGGAGCCTGAACATACTTGGTTTATCCCAGGCTGATCTCAAGGATATCAGGCCCATTCTTGGAGTTAAGGAAGCCCCGGTCAGCTATAAAGCTGCACACCATTGCCCTGGTGGGTTTGTGTGTTTTATGATTGCTGGCAAACTATGCATGAAACTGACCACTACAACCCAGGGGTGGTCAGTGTTGGTGGTTACACCTCAAGGTGACTACAGTCAGGTCAAGTTGGATCTATACATTGGTGCAGAGAGGTAAGCAGCTATCACAGGGCCTGAAAAGACCTTCACAGAGTTCCTGGATGTGGGTCCCAGAGCAGACTAGAGCTTGACCCCTGGCATGGAACATCCTAAGCCAGAGCTTAGGGCTAGGGTGTAGCTTAGTGGAGAGATTCTGGGTTGTCCCCAGCACCACAAAAAACAAAAGACAAAACAAAAAAACCCAAACCAACCCAAAACATGAAATCTCTGCAGCTCTGCATACCCATCCAGGAACATCTGTGATTACTCCACTGATGAGCACAATATCTTCATGATCCAGCACCTCTGCAGGAGTCTACTGACGCCCAGGCCTGCCCTCTGCACTAACTCATGCCACCTGCAAAGACCCTACCTCCAAATAAGGTCACAGCCACAGGGACCTGACAGGACTTCAGCATATCTTTTCAAGGGTACACAATTCAACTCACAAGACCAGTATCAATAGCTTCACTTGTTAAAATACCACACCTTGGCCAAGGAGATGTGGCATAAGCACCTGCCTGGCAAGTGCAAGGTCCTGAGTTTGATTCCCTGGTACCAATAAATACATAGATACATACCACACCTACAAAAGTTGGAAATCTTCAAGGTCTAGGTATGGCTAAGCTTTATATCAAAAAATTTTAAGGGCCAGGGAGATGGCTCAGTGGAACAAGCGCTTCCCTGGCAAGCGCTAGGGCCTGAGTTCAATCCCTGGTTCCGCCAAAAAATAAATAAAACAGAAGCAAACTTTGTAGTAAACAATAAACTTTCTTAAAAATATATTTTAGGGGCTGAGGAGATGGCTCAGTAGAAGAAGCACTTCTGGTGGCTGGGAGATGGCTCAGTGGAATAAGCGCTTCCCTGGCAAGCAGAAGGGTTTGAGTTCAATCCCAGGTTCCACCAAAAAAAAAAAAAAAAGAAAAGAAAAAAGGTATTTTAGTACAGTGTCTATAGGGTCTCACTATGTAGATCTGACTCATAGTGATTCTATTGTTTTCATCCTCCCAAGTGCTGGGATTACAGGCATGAGACACCACACCCAGCAGAAAATATAATTAAGAGACATAACTAAAAAGAGAGATAGAAAAGTGATTACATATCTGAGAACCAGTTAATTTTCAATGTCAACAGAGAGCTGGGACTGAGAAAACACAGGAGGAAGCGGGGGCACACACCAGCTGGGTCACACTGTCCCCACACCCACCAGAGGCCAGCAAGCAGCAAGGGAAGATTCTGGCAGATATTAAAAACCTTTCCTACATTCAGGCCTGCGTTCACCTGCCCTCACCACCACCTCGCCCTACCCCAGTCGCACCCAGCCCCTGACCTTTCCGCCCAGGGGTTCGCTTCAGGTCCAACCAACTCCAATCCTTCTGGGTCCAGGCCCTCCCTACCCACACCCCAGCCCGGCCCCGCCCCTCACCTGCCGCTCTCCTCCCGGGTGCTTCCCAGCGCCACCTGCCGACCGGCCCTTGGGGGCAGCTCCTGCAGTCTCTCAGTGGGGGCATCAGGCTCGGGCTCCAGAGAAGAGGCAGTGCTGCCTTCACGGCTGCCGCGCCCCGGGCTGCTGTCAGCGGAGGCGCGCGGGGACTCGGTATTCTGCTTCAGTGTCTGGAGCTTGGCCAGAGGGATGATGTCGCAGTTCTGTGGGCGGTGCCACACAGTACGCTGCGAGGCGGCGCTGTAGTAGTAGAAGCGCGATGTGTTGGGGTCGAAGAGCTCCCACCACTGGTCCTCACTGGTGCGCTTGATGCGCACGCCGGCCGGGGGATCCCATACGCACTCGCCTGTGACCAGGTTGGCATACATACGCTCTCGGGTGCGTGGCTCGATGATCTCCACCCATTCCAGCCTGGAGGACAGGATACCGTGTCAGCACGACCGCCTGCAACGGGCCTTGGTTCCCCTTCTTCCCCTTCCAACCCCACCCCAGGCCAAACCCTCCAACTTTGCAATGCTTTTCAATTACAAAAACACATGGAGGGCTGGTGAGATGGCTCAGTGGTCTAAAGCACCTACTTAGAACAAGCTTAGCAAAGCACAGGGACCGCGGTTCGATCCCCCAGCACCACATGCCAGCCAGCCCTGCCCCCCACCCCGCCCCTAGGTGGGCTGAGCTGGACACACACACACACACACACACACACACACACACACACTAAATAAAAACTTCAAAAAAAAAAAACCACATGGAAAGCAATAGAAAGCATCCTGACAAGGCCCTCTGAATGTGGGCATGCATGACCACAGATGTGCTTCTGTGACATCTGGCATTTGTTTGGACTATTTCCAAATTTCTACATGGCAAGAACCACTCTGCAGGTGTGAATGCCCCTCGGCACAGGCACACCCAGGGCAGCTGTCTTTTATTCCTCCATGGGTCAGCCTCTCCAGCATAGGCTGGTGGATCAGTCTCTAGGGAAAGGTTCAGTAGGGACCTTTGCTGGGGAGGATGGAAGGGTCAGCTGGGAGACCTGCCCTCAGCTCTGCCAGTAATAAACAGGCTCCAGAAAGAGGCCACCTGAAGTTTCAGACCTCTTGGTGACACTGCATGCCCAATGCATCATATTATGGTCTTTCTCTCAAGGCCTAGACACAAGTGCCTCTGTGTTCCCTCACTGCCCTGGGGGCACAAAGGCTGCAGGTGGCTCCCTCACCCCCAGGGAGAAGCAAAGGTCACACCCTAAAGGGGGAACCTTCCACTGCTGCCTGTCCCTGCTTCTTGCTCATAGACTCCAGCTGCCTCAACCTTTCCCGAAGGCACTGGTCCCTGGCCTACTGGAAGCTGGGGGCCTGGGGTTAGGGAGTACTATGTACTGGGGTTCACTCCTCTGTGTGGCAGACAGGAGCCAGTGCTGATCCTGAATAAAGACTCTGCTGTTGGGCAGCATATGGGAGGAAAAAGAGGGCATGACCTGGGCAGTTTCTTCCCAGGACCAAGCTGAACACTGAGCACTGATGTCTTGCTTGGTATGAAGGCCTTGGGTTCAATCCCCAATTAGCGCACATACACACACATACAAAAGTAAATAAAAGCATCTGGTAGCTCTGTGGCTCTAAGTTTGGACTGTCCACCCTGCTGCTTGAAACCTTCCTATAGCGCTTTCCCTTGACTCCAGTCACCACTGACACTGTGACCCTCTTCTCCTGCTCCCATAGCTTAGCACTACAGGGACATAGAGCCAGGACTGCAGGTAGCTCCAGACCATGCCTTTCCCGAAAAGATATTGCTGCTCTCAAGAACACTCTTAGCTCAATTGGGCCCTGAATGCCCAGTTATGTGGGAAAGAAAGTCCAAGTATCACACGAATAAATATCAAGCAGGTATAAGGGGGGGATGGGTTCTTCTTCTTCCTCACTTTCCGTGGAGTAGATTTCTCATCCAAAGAGGCCACAGTGGTAACATGGGTCTTCCTCTCACTCATGCCTGTAGCCCTGGACAATGCTTCCCACATTACTAAAAATTCCAGTTGGTCCTGCCGCCCTCCCCACAGCAGGAAGTGCTCTGAGATATCTGCCCCTCTCCCATAGCCATGGAGGGAAATGGTGCTCTCCCCAGAAGCCTGGACCTCATGTGGGAGCCCCAGCCTTCTGACCTCTGTGACTGAGCTAAGGGGCCACCTCAGAATTTTCCTCTCAGACTTGAGGGTGGTGGGGAATGCAGTGACAGAGGGCCAGGACTTTCAGGCATGGAGTGCTGTTTCTTCAACATGGGACAGTAGCCAGAGAATTCATGATACAGATGCACCAAGAGTCTGAAACTTCCCTGATGTGAAGTAGAGGAACTCATTCCTGAGCCTGTTCTGATAACCAGGGCAGCAACCACAGAGAGATGGTGAGGCCAATGACAGCATACATCAGCCCTGACAGGGTCACACGAGCATCAGCTGTGGTCGACACACATTCATCCCTCCCAGGAAAAGCAGCCAGCGAAATCAAAACTAGGCCTGTGTAGGCTAAGGACTGACAAAGGGCAAGCAGGAAAGAATGGTGTAGCGTACAGGTGGCAGCATCTCATGGACAGCACACTAAGGGTGAGAACTGCAGTGAGATGGGTGGTTACAGAGAGAGGAAAATGTAGAGGATTAACTGGAACATCTAGTTTAAAAATAAATCACCAAAATGAACATGTTGTATGGGCCTAAAGCAAATCCACACAGAGAAGGAAGTGATGCCGCCCAGGGCAGCCAGAGAACTGGCAGCAGCAGAGGCTGCTACTCTAGGCACAGCATCTGGGGGAAGAATGGGTAGGGCTGTTGTGCTATATTTAAAACAAGGAACTCTGCAGGCGATTGAAGAAGTACCACATACTGCAAGCATGTCATGGTCCCTTGAAGGAAAAGGTGCTTTTCACCACCAGAGAATGGCATAGCTCAGAAAAATGTAAACCCAACCAGGATGGGTACTACTAGCATTTTGAGTCTGACTGCCATCCAAAGGGCTGGGCACTTACATGACAAGGACCATGGCCACTGCTTGTGCTAGGGGAAGATGCCTGGGAAGCCTAGCACTACAGAACTGTGGCTGCTCCAGAACTGAAAGCCTAGCAGGAGAGAATGTGTGGGCACCCAGATCCGCATGCTTACGGCAGCACAACATTCAGAAAAGGGAAGGAGCCACCCAAGCCCCCAAGCCCCAGACCTCCCCCTCCAGAATGAGGTCACAAAGAACTGACAGTGACACCAAAGGTCCTGCTGGGGGACTGTCAGGAGCACACATGTGTGTATGTGTCAACCCACTTCATCCCTAGAGTCAGTGCCCTGAGCCTTCCTCAGCACCCAAAAAAAGCAGCCATGTGGGTCAGGGATGCTTGGAACAGCTGCAAGACCAGGAGTGGAAAGCAAGTGGGAAAGAAGTGCTTTGCAAGCCCCTCCAGGAAACCCCACCAAGGCAGGAGGAGCAGACACACCCAGGCCTGACTGTCATGGGGGACACAATGTAGCCAAAGCTTCAGACAACACAGTAGGCAGTGTAAGCCCCCCTCACCCCAAGCAGTCACGCCAGCCCACCTATGACAGAAACAAGGCTGCCCCTTTGAAGTGCTCAGATACAGACACTCATCTCTGTAAATGGCACACCAAATCGGATTCTATGATGTACATCTGGTCTTGTCTAAGAAGCACGGCCACAGTATCCATACACCTGCATCCCGGCCCTGGTTTCTCCCGCAGTGGGGCTGGGGCTCCTTACAGATACAGCTGATTCCAGGGTGAGGTGGAAAACACAGAGGAGGCACTTGTGCCAGCAAGTGGGGCCCCAAGTCCCAGCAGAGGGGCATGTCCCAGGACACAGGAGCTCCAGGAGCCCAAGCCAGGACATGGTATGGGTCAGCTTGAATGGCAGACTGTGAGACAAAGTAATGTTAGTGGAGACACAGACAGACACACACAGACACACACCCCTCTCCCACAGGAGCTGCAGGTAACACACAAGCAACCACCCTCCAAGAAGGTGGCACATGACGCCCCTGGAATGGGAGCTCCGCAGCACAGTGGAGAGGCAGACAACCAATTCCAGTCATTGTGTCAAGGACAATGTTGACACTGGCACATCCCTGACAGTGGAATTACCCTCCCAGAAGCATGTGTAGCCCATCTAAAACATTAGATAAATCTTAGCAGAGAGACATTCTGCAAAATACTTGGCCAGTCTCCTCAAAACTGTCAAGGTCATCAAAAACTAAAAATGTCTGAGAAACCCAACCAGCATGTAAGTAGAGTCCAAGGAGGCAATGGGTACATGACATGGGACCTGAGAGAAGGGACCTCATGTGAGGACTAGCAAGCCTGATGCAGTGTGGACTTCAGCTAGCAGTTAGGCCCCAGGCAATATCCTCATGAGGGCACTAACCTTGGGACCAGCACAAGGGACAAAGGGCCCTCCAAGCCCCTCGGCCACCACCACTTCATCCTAACACTTCTAAAATATGGAACCTGGGGGCCAGGGAGATGGCTCAGTGGAATAAGCACTTCCCTGGCAAGTGCAAGGGCCTGAGTTCAATCCCCGGTTCCGCAAAAATAAATAAATAAATAAATAAATAAATAAATAAATAAATAAATAAAATAAAATAAAATAAAATAAAATATGAAACCTGTGTCTTCAAAAGTAAGTGGCTTCTTAACCAGGTATGGTGGTGCTCACATCTGGTCCCAGCTACTTGAGAGGCTGAGGCAGAAGGATTACGAGCTTGGGCTACATAGTAAGATCCTGATTTTAAAACTACAACAACAAAAAGACAACAACGAAGTAAGTAGTCTATACTTTAAAATGTTAATTTTGGGGCTGGAGAGATGGCTCAGTGGTCTAAAGCACCTACTTGAAACAAGCTTGGCAAAGCACAGGGACCTCGGTTCGATCTCCGGCACCACATGCCAGCCAGCCCCGCCCCCTGGTGGGCTGAGCTGGCCACACACACAAACACACAATAAATGTAATAAATAAAAATAAATAAGTATTAAAAAAAAATTAGAGGTATAAATCATATAAAAAAATGTTAATTTTATATCCTGAAAATTAGATAATGAGACAATCTACCACATTTCACAGGTGAGGCAGGAACCACAAGGCTGGCTTCTCATGGATACAGAGATAGAGGGGGCCTAGGCACAAGGTAGCAGGAGCCTCCAGGGTGGACGCAACACGATGAGCCCTCAGTACCTGCCATACCAGGTCTGTGTGACCTGGAGACCAGAGCTGGCAGACTTGGCAACAGGGAGTGTAGGGCAAGGATGGCACCCGCACAGGCACGTTAGGGCAAGGCTGTCCATCTGCAACCTGAGCCTTGTCCCTCATTATACCCCTGAAGCAGGCACACCCAGGACACACTAACCCTCAGGGAGAGTGGACTCATGC